ACACAAAGACATATGGCCGGCGGGCATGCATCTCCGGAGTTGTGGAACAGTCTTCCAAACGGTATAAACCATGCCTTACAGTAATTGAAAATCTCAAAATAAAACTAAAGACTTCCCTGCTTAATCGATCAGTGCTATAAAGACATTTCGTAATAATTATGCGCTATATAGGAACTCAGTGGTACTTTATACAATCCTCCCGAAGACTTGGTTTTTGTTCCATCCGGTTTGTATATGGCATTGATTGCCGTGTATGGCTCTTCAACCCCAGTAGAAAACGCCTGTACTTCACGTGCAGTGAAACTGGAAATTCTTTGAGGGTTTTTTGGGAGGAGAGGGGGGCTGGGTGGTCCTTTAATCGAGAGGTGCACCAGTCTAAAGTTTCTTTTGCTGCCTTGGGATTCGTTCATTTACAGCAGACGATATGGAGTCATTTTCAGGAGAAATTTGCCATTAGACTGATATTCTTCAGGTAGCAGAAGCAAAAATAACCGTAAATATATTAGACCAGCGTCCGCAAAAAAAATCTGCATTGCAGCCAGTTCTCGAGTTAAAAAGTTTAAGAAACACCAGGTTTTAGAAACATAACTAAACCAATTTTTCCTCAATTAATTTGAACGCAAAGGGGTTGACTGCTATAAATTGGCCACTAGTTTTTTTTAAATAGAAATTTCCACCTTGTTCAGACCCCTTCAAAAAAGAACGATAAAGTGGAAAAGAAGCCATTTTGAAAAATAGTCCCACCACAATAAATTTACAGGCTAAACAGCGCCACTTGAGGACCTAATTACATCACAAATGCTCAGAATTGGACACCCTACATGCAAGTCCAAGCTAGAGGTCCAGTACGTGTCACGCTTCCCAAGTCACCGTGGTTCTAACTCTCCAATATTGAGGATGAGAAATAATATGGATGGAAGCCCAGGGTACAAATGTTCACTGTGGCGCACGCACACAAATCTGTGTAACGTGGCATATTGGATGGGTGCAGCATTTCTCTCGTCTTCCTCATGTGTTCAAGTGGACTGTGCCACCCCGTGGACTGGTTTAGGTTTATGCGTCATAGAATGTTACTTGTCTTATGTTACACCTTCAATGTTCTCTAAACATCGCTCTTTGTCAATTTCTAATGGGATGCGGTCCACAGTGCCCCACTCTTCCAAGAATCAAGTACACATTTACAGTAGGTCTACACACCGTATTTCTAGCGCTTTTCTTTTTCACTTGCCACAGCAATAAGCTCATATGAAGTACCGTAATCTATACTGGGGGCCAAATAGAATTCATTCTTTCATTGCCCTACAAACTATGAGAATGTGTTTGACTACATGTATGTGTGCAGTCCTGAGAAGACAAACCCAAGATGTCAGAATTCAGAGGAGGCAGAATTTGAAAAAGGAACTGCATAATTATACAAGATGGTACGTCAACTCTATTACAGCAAAGGAGTTTCAAGTACATCGTAATTCTAGCTCATATCTAAGCTGAATTCTCCTCATGAAAAAAATGTTGGCCACCTCTCCAGTCATTTTGGAATAATCCAGTGAGAAAGCTGTAGACGATACCACGGCGGTGGAACTGCCCACCTTTTAAAAGGTTTTAAGGTTTTAACCCCCCCCCCACCACCACCACCATTTTCCACCAAGCTATTGGCCGTACAAAAAAATTGACCTCTCAACCAAAAAATCTGGGATTCACCCCTGCTCAGGCTTCCCCTCCCACTATCAAACCGTTTCACTACCAGTCAGACATTGACAAAGTGAAGTTACTGAGCCTTAACGTTTGGGCTTAAATTGCTAAAACAAAATTTTCAGGGTCCTGTCAATTTTTTTGTTCTTAAATGTTGGCAACGTTGTTTTAGTGACATGCATCCATCTTGTGTCTTATCCTCTGCAGATCAAGGGGACGATAAAGACGAGGACCCAAACAATCAGTTTTCCTTCAAGGAATTTGTCAAGAAGGACAAGCGGAATGCCGTCTATTACAACTCCAAGGAAGGAGACATTGACGGCTTCATCCCAAGCGACAGTGAACCGGTAACATTTAAAATATGGCCCCTTACTTTTTTGAACTGTAATTGTTTCCTCACAAAGCAGCCATGCATGCTGTCTGTTTCACCAGTTGCACATTTTGGAAGGACTAACGCAAAGCATTGATTGGACCAGTATGCACAGTTGGCAGGAAGGAATCTCACCTTAGTTTTAGATACACCTGGTACAGAATCTCTACAAACTCAAGTGGCCAATAGAGTATAAGGCCGCGACAAAATCAATTGGCTATGGTTAGTCTCTAACCCAGTGGTTTCCACGGGCCTGTTTTGCATACATACGTCATACGACATGGCCTGATAAGTGAAACTGTAACAGTTTTGTAAGACGGTGCCCTCAGTGGACTGGATACATGCAAAATGTCCCAATCAATGGATGCATATTGTATAAGGCGCCCTTTATGACTGTATTAGCAAATAGATATATATCGAACGAAAGTAATATATATTGGATGAAACTGATATGCGTAGGACGAAAGTAATAAATATAGAACGACTTTGAAAACACGGCGCAATGGCAAGATAAAAATCAAAGAAGTCTTTTTCAAAGTTGTTCTTTGTAAGGAAGGGCGGCCTTCGTGTAGAGTTCAAATAAAAAATTCTTTTCAACTAACGACAAAGTGTGTTTTGCAAACTAAACAACAACGTGCAAGGGAATAAGGAACCAATCATACACGGTCATCTCACTCTTCACTAAGCAGAAATACAGGAAACGGAGTCTGCGTGGAACAGCAGTGAACGGTGCTTCGTAATTACAACATGTGCTGATTGACATCAAGTTTCGTGGCGTTTATTCGGTGGAAATGCTTATGGCATCATTTGCGTGTATTATACTGCTCTCCTGCTGATTTAGCACGGCAAAACAATGCTGATAAACAGAAACGTACGCCCCAGATGAAGAGCACGAATGGAATGGCTAACACACCCGCTACATCCAGCATGTGATACTGAATCCATGACAGCTCTCTGCCCTTCGTCCGTAGGTGCTCGGCGCCGTGGTTGAGAACGTGGTTGATCCAGAAAGTGGCTTTTTCCAATGGCTTTTGCGGCTGGGCCCTGTACCTCTCTGATGCTGCCACTGCGTGACGTTTGTAGCTGTTTAAAAGATCAAAATTTCAGAGCACGGTTTGCAGTTTGGTTTGAAACGGGCCAACTTGTATTTTTAAAATGAAATTTGACTCTTTCTGCATATTGCAAAAGTAATTAATTCCTCTGTCATGTGAATGTCCGCAAAAACCTAAGCAGGACAGAAAAACACATCAAAAATGGTTTGTTTGGCTAAAGTTTGGTTTCTTCAAAGGTTCTCAAATGAATCATAAGCNTGTCGACGTGGAAGTTCTTTAACCGTTGAAATGTAAGCTGCGGTGACAGTGAAAAAGCAATAAGCACGAACACGCAACTTGCTCTAAAGCATTTATCATCTGTCATTGCTATAGGTGCATTTTGTTCTTGTGGACAATCGATGTGAATATATGCACATTGTGGTTGACATCTGTCGACCATGAGTGCACCTTATAATTGGTTGGCGACAAGGCAGTTCATAATATCTGCGCCCTTCCTAGTAGTCCTGCAGAGAAATCAACCATATAGAGTGCCCAAGGGATTACGTCTAGCACACCTATGTGTACGTGTAACGCGAGAACCAGCGCATTAATTAGGCGCCTTTTCATGTATACTTGCGCCAACACTTGTGCCAAGCCTTGCGTGTCAGTCAAAATCGCTCCTGGAGCGATTTTGACGGCTAAACGCAACGTACACATGTGTTATGTTAATGGAGTCAATTTTTGTGTCTGTGAAAGTGAAACACATGAACGCATCATGTACGTAACGCATCCAAAAACGTACGTAATAATTGTGTAAAGGCTCCCTTAACCTGGTTCCAAATGACGTCACACTTCGTACTCTACCTGGTTCTTAAGTGACTTCGTTACAAAAGCGGACGCATCATGATTTGCAGGATCCCATTTTGGCAATCGCTGAAGTTGCTCGTTAACTTCCACTTCCATGGTTCCATGTAAACGGCGATCAATGCATGTAACCCTATGTGCTCTGCATGTGCAATGGGCGTGGTTTAAACTGAAGTGACGTCACACTTACGAACCGGATAGCCAATTGCCGAAGTGTGCGTGCGTGCTCAAGTTGAGACAGCTGCGTGAGTGAATAGTGCCCCTCGGAATGGCGTATCATTTGTCTATAGCATCTGAAGTTGACTACATGTATTAATTACCTCGGATTAGATACCACTTTCATGATGAGCTGGTACAGCGTATCACTGTTGACCTCACGTATTCCGCCTTTCACGTACTCTGCCATACCGAGGCTCCACAGACGCAGGAGGTTGTCGACCTGATCCGCAAATAATGGTATCCCCACCACTGGTACGCCGTGGTAGATGGCCTCGAAGGCGCCGTTGATTCCTCCATGATAAATGAACAACTTGGTTTTGTTATGCCCTTGTTTGGGAAAAAAGGGAAGGCTTTTTAATGAATGGTC